TAAAGAAACCGTTTCATCTTAAACTACAGCAGAGCCGTTGTGCCGTATTTCCAAAGGAACTCATGGGAAACCATTAGGGTGTCTGAGGTCAAGCTCAAATCCCTCCAGCATTAAGAGGCTTATAAAAAGCATTAAAACAAAAAGCTGGCTCATGTCTGAAGTCAGGTGATGGTGTTCGTGACAAAGGCCGACAGATAACGGCAGTGGGGAAAGGATCAGGTGCGCCGGGTGAGTCACTCAGACACATCAGCACCTGTGTGTGCTGCTAGTGGGCGCACAGTTTGAGATGAAGACTGGAAATTTTGATTTTACAATAATGTTCAATTTGGACCAATCTGGGACTACATAAATTACAATCAAAGAAAAATCTTGTTTTTAATCAGACATGTATATATATATGGTGAAGACGACGACCAGCCAGCTCAAACAAGGCATATTGAGGGTAACGTAGAGGGAATTTGATCCAGAGCTCCAACTGGGAAGGGAATGGCCCACATGAACACGGAGACAGACACACACCATATATCAAGCTGTACTGCATTTGTCCTTCTATATTAGGTCAGCCCTTCCTCTATATTTGAATTCATATTTTGAAATATTTACATGTATTTAGAATATTAGGACAATAAATAAACAAGACTGCCTTTATAAGAAAAGTAGCCTTAGATCCAAACTCACAGCTAATAGATATGTTTTTCTTTTAAACCACCCATTCTTGATTTATCAGTGCAAGTAAACCCTCCACTGATTGCGCCTCTGGACAAAGTAAATATTTAAGTTGTCTGGCTTCATGGAGCAGGAGAGCACGGCAGTGGCTGCTGGGAACACAGATCGCTCTAAAAACCCCATCTTCTGGTGCTGATATGGGGAAAAACTTGAAAAGGAAGAAAAAGATGGTGTAAGAGCCAGGAATGTGTGTTTCACTGCCAGTATACCCACCTGTTCAGATGGGCATTTAAACTTTTATGACCCACGGTGTCTTGTCTTTTTTCACCTGTTTCTTGGACTTCTTACCTCTGACAGGGAACAGAATGAAAAAATCAGTGAACTGAGAGTGGCTTTACATAGAGAGAATAAATGCTGTCTTGACCTGATACATATATAGATTTTTTTTTTTTTTAAATAAGACAAAATAATTTTAGGTGATTTATCTTTCAAATTAAAAAAGAATAATCATTAAAGATTAAGTAACATAAAATATAGCAAAGATATAAAATAACATTATTTCTTGTAACAACGCTGGAAATAAAAGATGGAAAATAATTATAAAAAATATCGGCTGATGTCAGAAACCTGAAAGATGCTACAGGGAAGGGAAATCACACAAAGCCACTCTGCATCAGTTTGTCAGATTTCCCTGTATGGGTGTAGACAGGTGAGGAGGCTGTTGTGAGGCAGAACGACGGGCAGAAGAGGTGAGCAGGCGTAAGCGGAGTAAAACAGGGTGACTGGCCCACAGTCGTGGGGCAGAATGAAGCTGGTAGCGAATGAAAACACTCAAGATAGAGAAGACAAAGTAAAGATGCATGCGACTCAGTGGTAAACAGGGTTTAACAGGCTAACAAGATTGTCCGCAAAGTCATTACAGACCTCCAACCGCAAGGTCAACAACTTGGCAGTAAAATCTGGACAGTATGTTACTTGGTGGATAAGTGGAGGAAAAAAAAAAATTAACAGATAATTTCTTACTCTGTTGGCTAAGTTACATGAGATTTTGACATCTTAAGAAGACAGTGGAAATAAAATGCAATAAGTTTACTGAGGGCGCTAACACACACCAGAGAAAATCAGTGTCTGCCTTAGCTCAGACTAACGCAAACATACAACTTAAATGAAAGTGGTTGTTACTAAAATCTGTTCAGTAGTTTGACATATTAAGCCAACATAAATAGGCTATAAAAGTGATATTTCTTCTACAAATAACGGTGCATTTCTTTTAATGTTAGCTGTTATTTAGCGGACACTCTCAAAAGGGGTAAAAGCACAAAAAGAGAAAGCACAAACCAGGAGGCGGTAAAGCAAAAAGGATTGTATCACTAACAGCTGTATCAGTTGGTCTTAGTTCAGCGAAGGGAAGGATTCCGACAGCTGCTGAGTGTTTATATGTGTGTGTGTGAGGAGAAACTGGGTGTGGAGCTCTGACCAAGGGCACGGGACAGAAAAAGAAGGGAGTGGGGTGTTTTGGCTGAAAATTCCCCAGACTGCTCACTTATCTGCCTGCAAAACAAAAGAAATCAATAATCAAGATCTGATAAGGAGTTAGCAATAAAAATGTCAACCCCTTCCAACGTTAATTCTTCTTCTTCTTTTGTTTATGAGTATATGAGTCATTGCCTATAAAACAGCAAAGTCCATATTTAGCTTTTCAACTCATTTTTGGAAGAAAAATTTGTTTGCTCTGCTTGTTGAAAATTGAGATATCAAAACAAAATATTTTCATCACGTCTGATAAAGTTATGCAGCCATTATGGGACTGCTTATTGCCTTAAATATTTTAAATTACAACTTACAGGCTCTAGTGTCTGATGATTATGTGAATGTGACAGGGATATCCGATAACAAAAGATTAGGCAACATTACATCAACATTTCCAAAAACAAATGAAGAAAAAGCTGATCGAAGCCTTGATCCACATGAACAGATAGTGTACAGTTTGTTTACACTCACTGACAGTCAGCTCAGGGCATGAATAAAATACAAAAGCAGAACATGACAAGATGAATTTTATATCTTATTTATAATATGCTGCATCTTTAATTGTTGTTTTGTTTTTATAGCACAAAGTACACAAGTTTGATTTTAAAAAGAAGAGACCATGATCACAAACTGTCTGAAACTAATTCAATCCAAATGTTTGGCTCTATAACGTCGTTTCATAATGACACAAGGCAGACAACGGCACTGACAAAAACAAACAGACGGGCAGGCGTGGAGAGGCAGGCAGGGAGGGGTGCGGAGAAAGTATGCTGAACTACTCGGCAACAGCCACTCAAGTCGTGACGTGTTCACGGTGCTTCCTGCAGCGCTTTAACCCGGGTCCTAGAGACAGTATTTGAGCTTTCTATTCGCTACTTGACGCTGTTGCTATGGGGGCTGTGCGCGTTTCACGGCGCGTCGGAAAAACAGTCCGAGCGCGCGCCCGTGTGTGTGTGTCTAAGTATGTGGCGAGTTTGGGATGAGGGTAGAAAGTGTCAGAAATGGGCTGGAGAATCAAAAGTGAAACATGATGAAACTCGATTTGGTTCACTTTCTTTTTGTCACCGCTGTTGTTTACCTCGCTATATTAATAGATTATTGTGCCTCTGAGGCAGTGACCTCGTTGAACTTAGTGGCTTTAACCTCATGCTCTGTATAAGTTTTACTGTTTGGTATTTTAGTCAGTGTAAGTTAATATTTTTATTATTACCAAACTATGTGAACTTTCTGAAAAGATAATTTAAACATAATTGTGTAAGTTTACACCTGTCCTTAAATTTTAGCTTTCTATCACCAGCATTTTTTCTATTGTTTTAATAATTATACCCAACTGCTATTTCTAATGTAAGATCTGACATATAAATAAATGATCATTTAATTTTTTGAAATATTTTTCATATTTTGAAATATTTAATACATCATAAAGCACTTTATAGTTGATTTTATTTTCATATTTTTATTTTATTAAACATAAATGTCTTATATTCTAGATTTTAGAAATACATTACTTCAAGTCAATGTTTCTTTGTTTACAATTTATAATATTTTATTACAATTTAATATTTAATTTTATTATTATTACACAATTGATCTATTTTATTTTAAATGTTAATAATTATGTTGTAATATTCTGGTTATTTTACTATAGATCTATTTTTGATTTTATTAGTGTATCTTAATAAATAAATAATGGTAAGTAGGATTGTGTTGCTCTGAATACTGCAAAAAGTATGGCCAAACATGACTTAAAATTGTGTTATTAGTGTGAACAAAGAGTTGAATTATTTTTAAGCTTCCGTCTCCAAGTCTAAAGTTGTATTGTGGTGATTTATGTAAAAGGAAAAAAAATATAAAGCTAAACAAATCGAGCATTACTGATAGAGCAATGGTCACGCAACAGAGAGAAAGATTGAATAAAAGTTTCTATCACTGGGTAATGAATTCTACTGAGTTTCATCATCAACAGCTAAAAAAAAGAAGAAAAAAACACGCATGAAAAATAAGGGACAGTCTGGTCCTGGCTCACGCCCACCCCCGTTAAATTATAATAATTATATATTTTAGTAATTTATTATATTTGACAAATACTAAGCATCTGTACACAGGAAAGACGTTACTTTGGAGTTACAGTTCACAAGGTGTATACAGGTGATGTTTCTATCGGAATGTCAGACTGTCGTAAAGCAGGTGTGGCCGTCAGCGACAAAAACTTTACTATAACAACTCAAATTAGAAAACTCAAGATGGCAACGTAATTAATAAACACGTCACGAGCAAGTAAGCGCTAAATTGATTGGCTGGATGATATTAAAAGAAAAAAAAAACGTTCAAAACATTTGCCTTAAAAATAATCGATTCAGCTTTTATGTTCCGGAAGAAAAAGCAATTCTTCGACATTAGATATCCATGCATATATGTATATTTTTAGATTTTTGTTAGAGCCAACAGTGTTTAATAAAACATGTTCTGATTCTGCTGGTGTTATCCCCAGCTAGAAATTGGTTGCCAAGCATTGCATCATTCCTTTCATGTGACTCCCATACGCCCCAAATTCGTCCTGGCCGTCTTATGACTGCATCACAGCTGCTGCTCGCACAAACTATACGGGCTGGAGTTAACAGCCAGCAATCTCGACTATAAGCCCCGCCCAAACAGCCAAATTCACTCAGTCTATTGGATATCACCAAGGCAAAGCTCTCACTTCCGCCCCTGTGATTGGTCCATTCTGATGTCAGTCCTCCTCACCCTGCTAGGTTGTTATGAAACTAACTTCCCATGCATAGTTCGGTTGGCTTCTCCCTCTATATAAAAACACCACCGGGAGTTTCCGTAAAACACATTCAGCCGTCAAGACTGAACAATGGTTAACATGAGCTATCACCAATTTTTACTAAAATATCTACAGTCGAGTTCAAGACAGTCGAGAAGGCGAGCGAATAGAAGAAAAAGGGTAAGCGGCGGCTGTTGTTCATGGTTGTTGTTTTTCTCGGTGTTTTGTGAACTTGTAGTGAAGTCGTCTTGGTGTGGTGGAAAGAAAAAAAGAGAATGTGCATGTTTTTTGGCTGATATCCCGGTGCCATTTTTAGAATAACAGTTGTCTTCATCTGTCATTATTAGTATGTAGCTGGTTCATGCTTTGTCTTTGTTTGTCAAGTTGTCAAGCTCCAACTTTTAAGATAACTTGTTCAGAGCGGAAAAAAAAAACAAAAAAAAATTGGAATGGTTACGTGAAGGACATTTATAACGGCTTTATTACGGGTCTTTAAACGTAGCATTTTATTTTATTTTTTCCATCTTTCACATTTAGGTCGAGCAATAATTTTAATCAAGTAGGTAAAACCATTTTGTTTTAATTTGCGGGTTGTCTAGTCTGGCGCCTCATTTATAAAACGAGCTTCCAAGTGTGACAACAGATTTTTGGATTATATTGCCGTTTTCCCAACCCAATCCTTTCTTTTCCTTTTGTTTCGCCCATTTCTCCTGCTGGACTTTTATTTCCATGACGTAATTGTCTTGGATTACAGTTGACATGTATGGCAACTAAAAGAGAGGAAAATCAGTGTAATTTGTGACTTATATGTTTAGATGACATTTAATTAATAAAGTATGTTTTGAGTTACTCAGAATGTGTTGTAGAAATATTAACGGATTTCATTATATAATATCAAGCCCAATCGCTACCATTGTTTAATGTAAAATAACTTCAACTCTTTACCCCCATATCAAATGTAATTGACATAACCGACGTACGAGATCTGATTCATTCCCATTGCTTTGTTTAGCAGGTTTAAAACATTCATAGCGAGGAGAAAACAAAACAGATGCGAGATAGAAATGAAGGCAGAGCTGACGGTCAAACCTGCTCAGATTCCAGCGCTTCCTTGTCCTCTGAAACCACTTGTTTATCTACCTGAATGTTTTGAGAGCAGGGAAAAGCAGGGGGCGCAGTGGAGATCTTTTTTTGGTCTTTGTTTACAAAAATTGTGAAAATAATTATTACAGGTTTTTTTTCCTTTTACATTGCCCGGCCTAATTAAAAAATATATATATATTGTACAGTGGTAATATGTGTATTTTCTTACATATTTATTAACCATTCAATTATTTCTCCAACAATTTCAGACACCTTTTGTTTCCAGGCTGAGGTTGTTCTGTTTGGCTCAAATGCTAATTTTCACGTGGATAATACAAATATTTTTAATCTAACCTTTTGCACTCATTTTGTTTCAGAATTATTGGGATAAGCTGTCTCCAACAAATTGTCAGACTTGATTAACAGAGACTTTCTGAAGGTAAACTAAACTCACCTACTCATGTTTGACCGTAAAGATGTTCTTGGGATTGTTTATATTTAAATGTGAACAGTTTCATTCATTTAAGGAATCAGAATTGTGTGTGTTACAGTCTTTTCTTTAGAATCATTGTTATCAATTCACAGATTAAGTGTATTACACAGTGTACAGTATATTTGTCTAGTTTGGTTTGTCATGGGATAAAAATAGATTTACTGCTGAGCAGCATTTGTAATTAAACCTGCTTCAGAACAATTCTGATTGATGAAAGTTGCAGACTTCTTTTTGACGTGTCAGTGATCTATTGTGCAGCTGCTCTGTGCCCCGTCTTTGTTTTCTAACCCTCCTGGGTCTGGTCGCCTCTCTCTCCCCTCCAGGTCCAGTGTAAACCGTGTGGCAGAGTATCTGTGTGTTGAGACTGATTGGCGAGATGACTGCCGAGTGGCTACACCTGCTCCCGCCGTACCCCCCTGGAGTAGGGCCGTTGTATGGTGCAGAGTTGGAGGCGTGGTATGAGGACCTGCAGGATATTCTAGGCTCCGACACGGGAGGGGCAAAACTTGCACGTGCCCCCACATGCACCGAGGTCAGTAGTTTAGAGACAAAACTATTACTGGTGATGAGTCATAGTTGCACATCTCCTTCTCCTTATTTATGGTTTTAATTGACGTGTTTGACATTTGTGTTTTGTGGTTGTAGAAGGAGCCAGAGTTTCTGGATGTTCTTGAGAGTTGTTCTCTGACGTGGCTGACTGACGGAAACCAGACGTGGGCTGAAGGTGTCCAGAGGACGACAGAGGAAATCCACACCACCCAGCCTCTGCATCACACCTCATCATCATCCTCCTCCTCCTCTTCTTCTTCTTCTTCGTCCTCCTGTATGAGTCCAGCTGTTGTAGAGGAACGGCAGGTGGAGGCTGAGAGCGGTAGAAATGCAGATAGCTCAACAGGAGGCGGCAGTGACTTGCTGCCTCCGGAGTTCTTCGAATTGCTGAGTGAAGGAGGAGTGGGAATGGTGGATCCGAGTGGAGCAGTGATCAGCAGTGGCTATTATTATCACCAACACCATCCTGCAAACAACACCCATCCTGCATCTCCTTCAGCCAGCGAAGAGGAACTGCCCTGTGTGCCAGATTCTCCATCCTGCTCTTCATCAGCTTCCCAGTCTCCATCTCAAAATTGCTCTCCTCCCTCTTCACCTGTCTCCTCACCCTCAGGCTATTCGTCCTCCCGTTTGGGAAAACGCAAGAGGACTTCTAGTGAGAGGGCCAACAGTGCCTTGTCCTCTTTCTCCTCTTCCATGCAACGCTCATCTTACTCGTCTACCAAAAAGAGTCGCAAAGAAAGAGAGCAAGAGAATGAACGAAAGGTACAAGAGCTGACAGAGCAGAATGAGCGTTTGAAAGCAGAGATTGAAAGGCTGGGAGAGGAGGTCCAGAGGACACGAAGAGCTCTGATTGAGAGGCTGGTCAACACCAGGAAATGAAGGGAAGACAGACAGAAATAAATGACAAAAACGGGTCCTATACAATTAGAAAAAGCAATGGTGGGGAAAGGTGTAAGGAGATGGATAGGAAATGTTTTCAGAAGAAGAATGGAAACCAAAGAATATTTTTTATAAGTGATGGTTTTTGGAAAACAGAGAAGTGAAGAAAGTAATGAAAGTCAAGACTAGAGGGTACAGAGAGAATGAGCTGCAGCAGCATTGCGGCAAATCAAAAGAAACAGCATGTCTGAACGAGAACAGAAAGCTTGAAGTGCAAATCATGCAGCGGATTTAATGAATGTCATTTTAAGGAATGCAAAATAAGTTCCATGAAATGGAAGGATATAGGATGGAACGGGTGCTGATTTGTATGTATAACTCAGAGGCGTCTTAGCTAGAGAGAACATCAGTGTCATCTTATTCCCACCATATTGCAATAAATTGTAACTCCCAACTTTAAGGGCTACGATCTGGCTCACAGAGATTATTTGCCCCAATTTTTGGAGAGTTTTGGAGCTCAGGAAAGTTTTGAAAGTGCCCAGTGCAGTGTGAGTATGAGAGATTTTTTATTATTTTTTTTTTTAAAAGGAAATTCATACTTTTTTCTTTTTTTTTTTTTTTTTAAACTTTGTATAACCCATGGCTTGTTTGTTCAAGTATTTAGATAAAATACGTAACCTGCTTATACTTTTCAGGCTGACCTTTTCTATTATGGGAATCTGTGGCAGAATTGTTAGATCTTCTACCCTGATGACTATTTTTATATAACTGTATTATACGCGTAAATATAATTGTACTGTATGGCTTATACTGTATATTCCAACATACTGTTTATTTCTCATTGTAGAGAAGAAAAAAAAAAGTTATTCATAAATATGCATGGATTTTTATCACTCATGGCATCAAAATTGTTTTTTCTTTACTGTACTTAAAAATTTGCAATAAAAATGTAAACATACTTTAGATGTTGAATTGTTTTCTTTTGCACAACATTTTTTATTCAAATAGAAAAAGCACAACCCAAGGCAAAAAAAGAATTTTTTTTCTTAATCTGTTTATTTTATAGATCCCAATAGATATTTGTAGCAAAGAAAAAAAAAAAACCCCAGAGGATATAAAAACCATCTTAAGACGTACAAACGCACCTTCCAAATGCTAATATCATATGCTGACTTTAACACAGGGAGGGTATAAAATCAGTTTCTTTTGGTGTAGGGATTTGGAGAAATCCTTCCTTTCTGTATCTGTATTCATTTGACTGTCTCTTTGTGTGTTTTCATTTCCCCGTCGGCCAATCCAGCATTTCATTAGTCCTCGGTGCCAACACCACATTGTCTTAGATCCTGTCACGGCTTTGCCTTAAGCTAATACCCTCATCTCTCCGTGTACATCTTGTTCCCATTCTCCACTCTTGCCTTCCCCTTCCTCTGACTAACCTTAATTTGTCTTTCCTTTCTTCATTTTCCTTTCTCACTTCTTCTTGCCCTTCTGAGGTGCAGGCTCAGGGCTCTTCCCTTCAGCAAGAGCCAGTTGTTTCTTAAGGTCTAAAAGTTTGGAAACCTCTGCTGTGATTACAGCCTTTTCTGCTTTCTCGGATTTGAGCGCTCGAACCTTGTCGCCCTGTAATAAAAAATAAAAAAAATTAATAATTTTAGATTTTATTCCAAAATAATGAGCCAACATGAGAACTAATTTTTTAATTTTTAAATGGAAAAAAAAAAAAAAAAAAAAAAAAAAGGAATAAAATTAAATTTTTATAATGACGAGGGAAAAAAAAATTAAAATCTTCAAAAGATGATTTTAACTGGAAATACAATCAAATGTCGCCATGTTGAGTTTGTTAAATTGTTTTTTTTTTAGCAATCAAAAGTTTTATAATTAAGATAGGAAAAGAAAATAAAAAAGCTTGAAAAAAAAACTGAAAACTGCACTTTCAATCTTATTCCAACAACAAATGATCAATACTATTTGATGGATTCGTAATATTTCGCTGCATGCTAGCGATCTAACCTGCTCGGCTACAGCTTCCGCCAGCTGTTTGGCTTTCTCGGGATCCGATCCGTCGACCACCTTCACCTCGGCAACAACGGGAGGAGCAGGAACCGCAGCGGGCTGAGTGCTGGCAGTAATCTGAAGGTGTAAACAAATAAATACGTTTAGCAGGTGTTGCAGTGATCCTTTCTGCTGATTTCTTTTTCTAAAAACTCAAAGCGTTGGTGAGATTCTGTAAGTTTTAAAACTAGAAAATGACAAATCAAACCAAGATGAGTAAAAAGGATCCATTTCAAGACATTTGCTGGAGTTAGTGATGGAATTCATTAATCTACACTGACAAGCGGCAGATTGTGGACCCACTCACAAACAAACGCCACTCAATACCTTCTTATTAGATGGTTCGTCTTCAGGCTAGAGGCAAGGATTAGAGGGATTATTTTTATCTATGTGATGAATGCACCATTGATAATTTATGCATTTAAAATACATTTTCTCTCTATCTTGCTCTTAAAAAAAACAGTCACTCCAATTAAGAGTAAATTCAAACAGATGATGACAGTCTGTGAACAGCTACACATAATATATTCTTATTTCACTTTTCATAAATGATGAATCTACATCAATACATGAACAGACTGAGCTCACGCTCAGACCATTACGCATCATAAACATCAAATTACCTGCTGTCCACCAAACCTCTTCTTCAAAGCCTCGATCTGATCCGCCTCCAGTTTCTGGAATAACGGACTGACCTGGGAATGAAACGGGTTGGGGAACCGAGGCAGTGAGAGACAAAAATTAAAATGAGTAGCTATGCAGGGAGTTTTTAAAAAGTCGATTCAGCCCAAGGCTCATATAGCTCATCTTTGAATAAAGTGGATTATGCAAGATGGTAAATAATTTTCTGAGAGATTTTTCAAAGTTTTGGTCACACTTCATGAAACACTGCACCAGAGTAAAGCAGTGTCTACATGAGCTTTGCATGGTCTTCAGTGATGTTTCCAACTCTTTACATAAAGGCCAAAGTCACCAATTATGACAATCTGAACAGACAAGACATCACAATTAGACCCAGATGGTCAAATGGCCTGAGAGAAACTTGTTTGCTGGAAGGTGTGTGTGTGTGTGAGATTGTGTGTGTTCACGAAACTGCATCGCTTTCAACAGTTCTGAAATCGTGACAGACTGTTGCGTTCTCATTGTATCACCCTGCTTCGACAGTGCTGCGGGTTCGCGTGTCTGCGCAGGTGCCACTCGTGTTTTCGCTTTCGTCAAGGTCACACTCACGGTGCCGATGCGGTGGCCCGCTCTCAGGGCGCACACGAAGGTGCCGGGGCCTTGCAGCATGGTATTGATGCAAGTCTGAGGAGCGTTGAGCTGATCCCTGATGGTCTGGCTGACCGCTGGCATGTAAGGCAGGAGCATCACCGACAGCAAGCAGGCGATATTCACAGAAACGCCCGTCACGGTGCCGGCGCGCTGCCTGAAAGGAACAAACAACTCACATCACCTAATCAGACACGTCGGGAATGTGAACACAGGCGGAGTCGCGGTGAGAGATTCTGACTCTGAATAAAAATAACATGATTTCATGCAATTTGTAAAAAAAATATATATATATATATATATATATATATATTAAAAGTGAAAAAAAAAATTACCTACTTGTATTTAAAACTGAAATGCAAAAAATGTTCTTAAAATAAAAAAAATACTATTGGAGAAATAAAGCAAATTAAAATATTTAATATTGGTCATTTGATAAAGCTACATGTACGTAAGCCTTCACATTTACGCACCTTGTTATTCTGATCTTTATAGAGCAATACTTGAGCTTGCCAACTGAAGAATTAAAAACAGTCTTATCCTAATAACACTGAATGGTGGTCATCACAGCGACAAAAACGAACGCATTTCCAAAATTAAAACGAGATGGGAAACGGTCCCCAGGGGCTGCCAAGAGACTGACGGCAACAATAAAGAAACTGCAACATAATATAATAATCTGTATCCAAACTATAAAAGCTTTTTCTTTCAACTAGAACAACTAGGTTGAGCAAATATGTCCCAGAACCGGATCTTTTGTACCACAATGCTAAACTGTAGATTTGTCGAAGAAACGACAGTAAGAGCGTTATGACTGAGTGCTGCAGGCAGCAACAGTCACGTTTCCTGGATCTGAGTGTTTTGTCAAAGGTAATGAAACCATGAACTAATAACAGTCTTTTCTGACTCAAAACATTCAAGCATCTGCTAGAATACAGAAACTTCTTTTTTTTTTTTCCAGCTGTCCAGGCAAACCCCTAAATCAACTCAAACTAATTTGCATAAGTATTAAATTAAGGTGTGGGATGCTGATAGATTCCTACTAAAAAATTTAAAGCAAAGTATTAATTTATTTGGAACGTGCAGGTTTTTTTTTTTAAATATAAATTTCTCCTACAACACTTTTGTTTATTTTTCATATGATTTGGTTTGCAGAGATCTTCTTAGAGCCTCGTTTTACCAGGGGTGTGTAGATTTTTCACAGCCACTACATGTTCTTGTGTAAAAACTTCTCACCTTTCTGACTGCCCTCCCTTTATTTTCTTCCAGGGCTCATTGACTTGAATGTATTGGTTACCATGGCGAGAAATGTTCAGGATGTGCTTCAGGGCATCGCGGATCCTGGTGAAACATTTCGAACAGAGTTAATACCCTTATTAACACTCCGCTCAAAAATGTACATCATCTAGCTGTATTCCCCACCCGATCCGTTAGTCTACTGGATTCAGTCAAGCTGAACATCTTACTTGACTTTGTCCATAAGCTGAATGTACTGCTGCAGCTCCCAGCCCACCACAGCCAGTAGCTTCTTGTCTTCCTGCTGTAGCTCCATCGCAGGCACGCATCCTCCAAAGAACTTGGTCACAAACATCCCACCTCTGGAAGAGAGAGCAAGATTTGGACAGAACAGATTAAGACCTGAAACTGAGTTGGAAACGAACAGAAGATCATCGAAGGGAAAAAAAAAAAATGGGTTGAGGATGAAACCAGTGAAGGACATGCTACTTGACTTGCTAATCGTGTATAAATTATACATTTTGCTGTCTTATCTACCACACCGCCTTGCCGTGCAGTTATGCAGCGTACTGCCTGAATGCAGTCACGTCTGAAGCAAGTAATTCTTCTAAAGTTTCATGTGTAGATTTTTTTTTTTTTTTTGTCTGATGCAACACCGTGTTCAATATTTTACATCTCTAATCTGGCATTTTAGACACACACACACAAAAAAGCCACTACAGATTCAACTTAACTGTGGTTAAATTAATTTTATCGTTTGTTTAGTTAAATTGTCGATCCATCAGCTGTTTTTTTTTTAAATGTGAAAACTGTTGAATAAATTGTATATTTGCTCGTCTAATTATTTCCCAGACTGTACCCTAAATGCTTTTAATAAACACCAGTCAGAGTGAAGCCTTGACTGGAAATTAACTGTATAAGACGGATGCATTTTCACTAATGATGTGACTCAGGGACTGGATCTGGGGAAGGTCAGAATTTCTTTTCTGAATTAGCAGAACTCTTTCCACCTGAGGCAGGATGCAATCTGCAAGATATTTTGGAGCCAATTAGACATCAATGTTGCTGCCCGAGACCAATTTTGAAGATCAAGGTACTCTGGAAAGAAGCTGCTGAGAAATATCTTTGAAGTGGGATTTAACACTGATCTTTTAAAAAACATTTTAGACGAGGCAATTAAGGCTAAATTACACCATCCCAAATAAATTTAGAAAACTAGGGTGAGCGTCTTGTAATAGTTAGTGATGTAACAGGCTTTTTTTTCCCAAAGAGTACAACACAAGTTGTTAATTGGACTTGATGACAGTGTTGCTGCATATTTACTTTAAGTGAAACCCTTGTAGGAAGAGTGAGCAACTTGAGATGTATTGCCCCAGTTTTCCTCTCAGCAATGATTGAAA